TAAATGTTCAACACCCTGTAACTGCACACAGACACTGTCCCCTGATGAAAGACTGAGGCACAATGCACTTTATCACTGCCTTGGGAAAAAAAATTGCTGTAAAAGAAAAGATAAAATGTGAATGTAATGCAGCCAAGTTAATGCTATCTTTGCAGCCTTGTCCACTGTTCTTTCTTCACTGCTTTTACCCCAGAGGATGTCTATCACAGAATTTGTGCTTTCTCTGCTGTTTAGGGGTTTAGATTTTCAGTGGCTCTATCAATAATTTTGGTTTTTTGAGGGTCTTTTGGGGTGAGTAAATAAAAGCAGGAAAGGTACCAACATCATCCAACCACTGTCAACTGGAAATGTGCTGCCAGCTTGATCACAAAGATCAAGAGGACTGAGCTGTTTCCACATCCATCCCTCCCCATAATTCCTTTCCCATAGATAAGGAAAAACACCACAGCTGCAGAAAAATGAGGAGTGTGTGCTTAATCATCATACTTTAGAGTGCCAATGGAAAAATAAAAGGCATCTGATTACAATGTTAGTAGTACATATAGAAATGTTACTCCAATATTTATTCACCTTCTCTTTCCCCCATATATGTTAATCTTAATAAAGATAATAAAACCACAGAGCCATCTATCTCTGCAAAACAAATAGTAATGGAGGAGCTACATAAGACTGCCTTATGTCCTGCAGCAAGAGTCCCTGCAACGTGCTTATGTCAAAGGTAATGGGATGTTCAGTTTTAGGGAGTTAATAACTGGGGCTGGTTTCTTAATAAGCATTAATTCAGTCCTTTGACTGAGACAACAGCATAAATTGCAGTGGCCTTTTTGACTATGAAGAATGCAAAATACTATGAGCACTTGAGTCAAAGCAACAATTATCTTCTGGCAATGAAAGACTCCCATGGCACTTGTGCTGAAAATCTGGCTTCATTCTGTTGGTAACAAATAGTTGACTCTTATCTTGATTTGCTGAATTCTTTATAAGCTTCAGTCTCTGTGGCCCCCAAAATATTGGCAGAACAGTCAGAAAGCAGTTAGGATTTTGTTTTGGATGAACTAAACAGCATCAGAAGTTTGGCATTAAATGAAAAATCAAGCTGTCTACACTCTCATGGTAAGGCTACACAACCTGGCAATACTGTCTGCAGAAAGGAAGGAGCTAGAGAAGGCAGAGTTTCTTTAAACTAATTTTTAGTGGTGTCCAATAAGCCCATGAAGAATATGAGTGCCCAAGCTTCACCTCTTGATTTATCCATTGTCATGAGAAATATTTTAAAGTGTGCTCGTAGTGGTGGCAAATGCAGCTCCAGTTCTGTTTCCAGGACCTGTGAAAGTGTAGGGAAACAGGTTTCCAGCCCAATCTCACACTTTCATGTGAAGAAGGAGGTGGCAGCTGGGCCATGAACCATTCCCTAGCACAGGAGGAAGCATCTGGGGAGCACTTTGAAGTGACATATGTAATACTGCCAACAGCTGCTCTTAATGTGGAAAGTGACCTGTAGAATGGTATGTATAAAAATGAAAGCCTGCCTTTCCTCTCTGTTCTGGCATAGCACAGGATAACACAGTTCCCCCTTCCTAGTAACATCAGGAAACAGTTTCTTTTGATCAAAAGCAGTCATATAAATGCAGTCATTTGCATCTAAACTACTTCCTAAGGTCAACAGGCCTGATTTATTCAGATTGGGTTAAAATGGAAATCTAAATTTAAAAGAAAATCCTTATCTTCTCCAGTGACAGCTGAGACCTTCAAAATCAGGTGAAATAATTCCACTTCCTATGTTTCTAAAAAAGTCATGCAGCATCAAGGCCAGAGTCCTCATATTCAACATCCATCTGTGGTCTTTGAAACTTCAGTTACACCCTTTTTCTTTTTCTTTCTGTAAACATGTACTTGCTCCATCTGGCAAGGAGAACCATAAATCTCCCTTGACTCTACTGGCTATTCTGGCATTTTTGCAGTAGTTCACACAGATGGGGTGTATTTAGACAAATGGCAGAAGGAAAACACTTCTGCACACATATAAGTGGAAGTCTCATCTACAAACAATATTTCTTCTGTATTAGTTTGTAAATTCATGATGCTGCACATCTTGAACTCAGCTGCACCTTCTGTCTTTCAACACTGCTTTTACTGTCTCTTTATTATGGCTTTCAGCCAGAAACACAAGATCAGTGGATGAAAAGAATGCAGCAAATACCAGCATTACACCAATCTGCCTTGCAAAACCTCACTTACAAAATTAATGTGAGCCAGCTAGCATGAAACAGTCACATGGACTGAAAACCTCCATGCACGTAAGCAGAGGGCAATGATAAATATCAGAGTACATAGGGCAGGGGAGACAGCTAATGGAAGATTTAGGCATCAATGTAAATCTGGTTTTATTTCAAGTATGCATTTACAATCAGGAAAACCAAGGGGATACCACATAAATGTCATTTTTAGACGTAATTAAACCAGGATGAATGTCAACCACCAGTAAGAAAAGAGAAATACTACAAAGAGTCTTTCATCAAAAGCAGAGGGTGAGAGGTTTGTAAAACCATGTCTGGGAGAAATATATGTATTGGGGAAAGGAAGGAATCCAAAAAAATGATGCATACAATAAGAGGAGGGAGACACAGCGACAGTGGTGCTGAATAATAAGAACAGCAAAGCAGAGAGCCCTTCCTATTACACTGTGATACCCAAAATGACACAAGATGCAATTTGGAGTTCCATGTGCAGGGAGGTCTCCACACAGCCCACCCCCCGTGTGCTCACTGGGACACTGCTGGGCACCAAAGGGCTGTGAGGAGGAGGGAAGACAAGGAGATGCTGGTTTCTCCAGGTTCCTCTGGAAAATGATCTGTGTATGCTGTTAACTATGTCATGTACACAGCTGAAGCAAATGCAGAGACAGGTTGAGAGTCCACAGAAGCAGAGCCTCTTCCAACTTTGTGAACTCTGAGACTGTAATTCACAGGATTTTCAAAGCCATAAAAATGCACAGAAAGGTCTGAGGAGTAAGCCTGCACCTGAGGCTTCTATTAGAAGTCATCAGTGTTAGAGATAAAATCAATCATTAAAACCTTTTACACTCCCCATTAAGTTGTTCTCATCACTTTTTTCATCAGTGAGAAACTGCTTCTCAAAGCATTTGAGGATCTCTGAAAGAGCTGGATGCATACAATCAATGATTTCTCAGGAATTTGTTGGAAGTGGAGACAGAAGAAATGAGGAGCTGAATTCAGACAGACATCTGGATTTTGCACTGCTCTAATCTTTGCATACAAGATGAGCTCTGCTTTTGTATTTACTGTGCCGGTGGCCCGCCAAAGAACAGGATGCTAACAGGAACATCACAGGAGCCTTACATACTCATATGCAAATGCCCAGAGAAGAAAAAAGGCTCAAATCTTCTGCCTTGAACTCTTTCAGGGATCTTTTTAAATAAATGTGTGCGTAAAGCATTAGGAAAGGGAATTATGAAATCAGTCAGTCCAGCATCTATCCAATTGCTCAGAATCATTTTTTCATGTAGCAAAAATCATTAGGCACTCCAAAGGAAACATAATAAACCTCTCATCAGACAGATTAAATGTGTTCCTGTTTTCTATCAGAGGCTGTCTAAAACTCAGAAGGATGTGGTTTAATAGCATTCTGATATTTTATTTTTTTATTTAATAAATAATCACCACAGTCCTGAAAGTTTGTTAACCCTGTAATTCTGTCAAACAGTTTATGAATCATGTTAAATTCTTAACATCAACAGCCTCCTACAGTCTGAGTTCCAAAGGTTAAATACATTTTTGGTCAAACAAAGCACATTAGCTTATATCAGTCTTCAATTTTCAAACTTCAGATCTACACTGAATGGTCCATTCTTGTCTCTTAACATCAGAAAACCAGGTGATGCTGGAGCTAGTGAAGTGCCATACTCTTAACTACAAAACAAATTGGTTCCCAATATTTGCTTACTTCTAGTAGCTCTGTATATAATTTTTTTAATCTTCTATACATAAAAGAATCCTTGATTACATTTCATTTTTCTCTAACTCCCTTCTATTCAAATGGAATGACACATTCAGTGTGACATGTGGGATTTACCTGTGGTACTAAAAACCAAAAATTCTACTTGCAAATTCCCTTTACAAAAAATTATGTAACAATACAGAAAAAATCACCATCAAATCATTTCCATTTTAAACACAATGGGGTTTTGTGTCACAGGCTGCTGCCCTAGACACAGACCATTCAGGGACACGACCAGCAGTTGGAATATCTCTTCTTTTGTCTCAGAAGAGGTTTTGGCAAGCAAGAACTCTTCTGTCCACCCTTCTGGATGTAGCAATAGACCCTGATGCTGCAATTTGTCTATTCCCACAATGAGGTGATCATTGTATACTCACTACATCTCTACCAGAAGATATTCAGTTGTCTGTAATTTTAAGTCTGGTTAGCTGGTTTTTTCTCCTTAAAAGAGAGAAATAATCAAAACTTTTTTTTTTTTTTTTTTTTTTTTTTAAGACTGAAGCCAGTGACAACAAAATCTTTTTGTTTGTTTGTTTTTGTAGAAGTACAGACATGGATTTGAAGTACTTCTCGAGGGACATTCAGCCTGGTCCTTTCTGTATCTCTCTCTTGGTTGAGGCTTCTGTGGTTAAAGGAGTCCTCCCTATTCGACTGCCAATAGCAAAGATCAAATAATTTCCTAACCAGCTTGCTTATTTCTAAAGGCACCATTAATGCAAGAAATTCAATTGCAGCATTTCATATGAGCTGCATATCTGCAAGCCTGAGACTCATTATAGACCCAGCTGAGGTTTTAAAGTTAAGAGCCTTGTAACTCCAGCCACCCTTCTGAGACAATAAAGAATGAGGCACTTCTTGGTGTTATCAAGGCTGCACAGCAGTTGGGAGGTGCCTCTTTATCTTAATTGAGAAAGGCTGTGATGGCTACAGACATTGCTAAATAGAGGTAGTAAGGAGCTAAAATCAGAATGAATGCAGGCTTGTCCTTTATTTTACTACATGTTCAGAGAACCTCTCAAACTCTCTCCCTTAGAGAGACTAAGTACCATTTACTCCCATACTGCATCTCTTAAAAGCAGCTCTGGCTTCTGCTGTTTTTGTGGCATAACCTTACTGCAAATTCTTATTTTTTGTAGAATCAGATTTACAGCAAAGGTAGCCTATTTACATTAACTCTAATATACCTAAATGAGTGGCCATTCTCTTAGGGATGCTAGAAAAAGAAATGCTGCAATCTTGGCAAACCAGGATATAATTTCCAATCAAAAGGTAAGGATCTTCATACCTAGCAATTCATTTGTGGGCATAGGAATTTCATGCTGTAGGGTCTTCTACTTGCAAAATGATTTGTGCCAGTTAAGTACCTTTCCTAAGCAAACCAATTGAAAGGCATGATCTCTGTACTGTGGAGAAATGCCCTATAACCCAGTTCCTGGGTTTAGTCGTGGGACTTACATGTTGTTGGCTTGGTATGAAACAACTGGAGTTCACAATTAAGGGGTGTGCTGGGATAGCTTCCATTAGTAATAGAAAGAGGTCTACAGAACAGAAAGAAAAATGCAGCAACACTTTGTGAAAGATGACTCAGGAGACACCTCATTCATAACATGAATGCTTCTGATGGTATTAATAGTACTTCCTTTAAAGCTATCCCACAAAAATCCCTTCTATCATCCCTAATGCTCTTAATGCCAATTGAGAAAAAACTTGTGCATTTTTTTCTCCGAATACACTCTCATTATCCATCTCGAAGAGGAAGGAATATCCTGTCCAAGCTACAGTGTGCATCAAAAAAATTGATCCCTTCTAATCCACTGTCTACAGTAAGTAGTTCATATCAGCCTATCAGAAACAAATTAGAACAACCAAAAAAAGGTAAACATTCCTGAAATGACTGATGCTTTTTCTTCTCTTCATTTATCTGCCTGCAGTTACAGATGGAACCCATTACCACCCACTTCCTCAGTTAGGAAATGGTCCCTCTGTACACTTTGTACTGCTCCTCAGATGGTTGAGTGCATTTATCCAAACAGCTAGCAGTGAATTCTGACTGCTGCAAGCAAGTCAAATGTAAGCCAGCTATGGAGCAGATGTCTTATGGATAAAGCCATGGATAGCCAATGAAAAACACCTGACCACAGCACTAAACTACACAGCACAGCTCCCCTGCTCCAGACCTGAACCAGTTCATACACCCTGTGGATAGGGAATCCCACATCAGTCTGAAAACTGGATAGATGTGCCCCTTTATATATATATATTTATTTTTTTTTGTGAGCATAGACTTGCTGAATAATTTGGTGCCCTGTTACTTAAATGTAGACAGTTCATTTCTTCCTATACAGTTTATTTTCTTTCAACACTGTATTAGCTAGCCCCAGCCTAATGTTAGCCTCCAAAAAACTACATCAGGCCTGTGGTTTTTACATAAAAGGTTTTGCTGCCTTATCTTCTGTAAGCATAGTGAAGAAAGAGAAGCACCTGGACAGACAGTTTATCTGGTTTGAGGAACGTGTAAAATAGAGAGAGAATCTTCTTTTCCTATCAATTATTCAGCAATCTCCAGATGCTCAGGTAATTGCTGTAGAACCCTACAAGCTGTACAGGAAACATACAAAACCAGCAAACTCTCTGACTGTATACAATTTCAGCCTGGAGATACCATTGGACTGAAGAACACCTCTAATCCATCCTCACTGAACTGGAGGCAGACAGTAGGACACAGGCAGTTATTTAGGGCACCCAAAGTCATCACAGACAGCTTCATCTTCATGCAGTGGGAAGGAAGAGAAAAGGATTTATGAGAAGGTGTAATGTGATAAGCACATTTCCTTGCACACATTGTTTATTTTGCACAGATCCTCTTTGTAGCTCTGCAGGCTCTTTCCTCTAAAGCCACTGCCTGAGTGGGCACCTGTGCTGACCTCCCCTTGTGCTGGACACTGCAGACATGTACGTCAGACACAGACACTTGCACGCCCTTGGCCTGCTGCAGAGCTGTTGGGATAAAAGGAGGGGATGAATGCAGAGGCCAAGGTCAGGGCTGGAGATGGGAGTAGGAGGGTGGAGCAGGAGCATGGGCACTGGCAAGCTGTCCTGAAATTTGTTTTTCCTTCCCAACTTTTTCTGATAAAAATATCCTTCTGGTTCACAGCAAAGACGAAAACTCATTTTTCTTTGGCAAGACACATTTCTGTAGATCACAAAGGCATTCTTTTGTACCTAAACCTTGTACTAAAGAAAGTGACTTCTCTGTCTAGATCTGTGCAATCAATCCCTATTAACACATTGCATTCTAGTCCTAAATTTATGAGTGAAAATAAGCACCTTGACTCATTCACATTTAAGACCTCTCATCCAAAAGACAGGAAAGACTGAATTCCTTGTTTTAATTGCTCAGAAACAGCAAGCAAAACATGAAAAAAAACATTTTTATCATGCTTCCTTTCTTTTGACAAAAGGCACACTTTGCTGCAAGAAAGCTACTAGGATAGGAAATTAGATATGCAGGTGAAATTAGAAGATTTTACTCTTTGCTTTTAGTTAAATTTTCCATTTTGTGATACTCTAGTACACCACTGAAATTTTTCCAAGACAAGTTCCTATTTGACCAGACATTAGGAAAAAAATGTGTGGTGTGTTGTTTTTTTAGTTCTAACAAGAACCATATAAGGTTGCTGTCTTTCTGATACCCATAACTTTCATTATGATAAGTTACAAGTATGTATTAAGAAAGAAAACTTCTCTTAAGGCTCAGTGGAAGCGAATTTTCAGAACTTCTGAAATATATTTACTGTATAAATCCTAAATACACTGAAGATCTTCTAATCTGGGTGCTAATACAAGTCTTTACATTGTCTTTAAACAGCCTCTATACTTCTTAAAAATGTGTAGAGAAACATGAAGTGTTTGACACCAGGTGGTTGTGTCACCTTCCAGAGGGGCTTTGACAGGTGGGAGAAATGGGCCAACAGGAACTTCAGCCAGGGAAAGTGCAAATCCTGCACCCAGAAAGGATCAACCCTGAGGCAAAAGTACATGGACACGACACAGCAAGGGGTGCTTGCAGCCTGGAAAGCCAAACACATCCTGGGCTGCAGCAAAGGCAGCATGGACAACAGGTCAAGAGAGGGAATTCCCCCTCTACACCACTCTTGTGAGACCTCACCTGGAGCACTGCATCCACCTCTGGGGTCATCAATCAGTCACTGTGTTTAGAAGACAGAAGTGGAGAAATTCCATAGAACATTTTGTAATGTGAGAGACAAAAGACTAAAAGACAAAGTATGTGTCTTTGTGACAGGTGTGGTGACACAGGTAGAAAACTCACAGTGTTAAAGGCATCATCAACATTCTGTGCTCCTTGAACTGTAAGAGAGCATATTAAAGGAAGCAGGTGGAGAAAAATAAATACTAGAATTGCATTTGATGCAAGAAATATAGGTGAGGCTTTCACCTGATTTCAAGGTAAATTAGGCATACAATCACTTCATATCCATTATCTGTTGATTTTTTTGTGTTGAAGCAGTGCATGGAAATTATCAGTGAAATGTTAATGAGGTTTAGCAGATCAAGAAATCATGACAGTGCACCACTGGTGGATGTTCAAGCAGCTCAAATATAAAGATTTTCAGTAAAGCAAGGCATGTTGAGAATTGGTCTGGAATGTAAATGTGCTACATATGTGAGGGCAGAGTACAATACTTTGGCTGACTTCAACAGCTAGTTTTAACACACCAGGGAGATATGGTAACAAAGACCTGCAATATTTTCATCAATTCACATGAGGCAGATGGAGCCTCTTAAATATTGAGTGCTCTTTTCTGTCAAGATTCCCTTACCTGTAAAAAGCTTAGCTTCAGTTCAGTTACATGTCCATCAAAGTTTTCACAAGCCATAAAACCTCTAATGGTTAAGTACCCTTGAAGAACAAGGGGTTCAGATAAACTCAATGAGTGCTACTTGCATTCAGAATGATCACAAACTCAAATACCTTACACTGGAAATAAAAATACATAGTCTAATAGAAAAGGCAGGGTATAAAATAATTAGTCTATTCCTTTGCAGCAAAGAGCTGAAGTCAATTTGTGTGGTTTTCTACACTTAAGATGTAGAGTTACACTTTTGGGGTTTGCTTTCTTTATTCCTTTATTCCTCTTTTTTTTTTTTTTTCTTTTTATTAAGCCTATCCACCTTTTCTGCTTTCTTATTCTTATATCTTTAAACTTTCCTTCTTCTGTTCTGTTTTGTTTCTAGGGCAGGAGAAAGGAGAAAAAACTAGCAAGGACCTTAAAAACCACAGTGTTACAGCTTTTATTACAATGTAAGTGCAAAACCCACACATTTTCCTAAGACTGTCCTCGATGAGGAAAGCAGAAGTACCACAGGACAAGCCATGGTCAATTTTTCCTGCAGCAGCATATTGAAGAGAGCAGTGCCAAGACATCTGCAGAGGAGTGTGCAGATCTGGCTGTTCCTACAAGCACATAATACTCATATTGAGGTTTTCAAAGAACTGAAAATTAAATCTGAGTGAACCAGCTGCTGAACTCGCTGGTTAGATGGATTGTAACTGCTGAGGCAAGAAATACCTTCCACCAGCCCAGCACCTCTGGGGCCCAGTTGGTTCCAGCTGCCAGCTGGGCATAGGCTCACACATCTCTCCACCTGCTTCTGCTCACCTCAGGTGAGCCTCAACATCCATAGCTAAAAAATGGTGTTGTGCTATCTTCTCTCTGGCTCAGCTTCAAAAAAAGAAGTTCTGTAGTTTGAGCAAAACTTGAGTCAAATGAGTTACATATCTGGGACAATAAAGCCAAGAACTGAGAAAATCCATGAGCTTAATTAAATGGGAGAGGAGGGATCAGAAGTCAGATATAAAGGAGCATATATAGGTACTAAGAAGCACCCAGAATTAAGAGCCAGTTAAATCAAATATAATCTGACACAATGGTTATCAGAAAGCCTCTGTCCACTCCAAGTGAAAGCCTCTGTACAGCCCATCCAAAACACTTAAAAACCACAATTCAGGTCTCCAGAAATGGTGCTGTTCTAATAAATGTCTGTGCATTTTTTGACATTGCATACTGTGTCTGATTATTTTCCAGAATATGTTAGGAAGTTCCTGGCCTCAGTGTGTAAGTGAACAGTTCAATAATCCCTAAAAAAAAGGAAGCAGCACACAGTCCCTACTCTCTGTATGAGGAAAACTCCAGGTATCACCTAAATTCCCCACACAGGCAGGTGGGTATTTTAGGCAACCTCTTCTGTCCCCTCTAATCTCATTTGTTCTATGTCATGCACCTTCTCTTGCCCCCTCCTCCATCTCCTCAGTCTGTCTTTGCACTTGCATCACACCATCCCTCTCACACTACATCCACTCATCACATCTCCAGAATGAGGTTTTCTTTTTTGTTTTCTTTGTTTGGTTGTTTTGTTTCAGTTTTTTAAAAAATAAGTTGCAAGTGCCTTTAATGAGTAAAATAAATGACAGCCATCCTGCCATTCTCCACTGAAAGTGATGGGAAAATGCAGTTATTTTGAATAAAGAAATAGAAACTGAGATGGGGGTCAGGAATAAGGAAATTACATGTAAATTAGGGACAAGTATCAGTATCACTGGCCTGAATTCAAATATATGTCACATAGCATAATTATATGCTCACTGCTCACTTATGTCATGAGTAAATTTGGTCCAGAATATTTTTTTTTATTATTTATGAAGATGAATAAAAGTTCTTTCACAATATTAAAAAGCAGTTTCTGCAAGATGTCTGCAAAATGATCACAACCTCAACAAAAACATTTGTATTTATTTAGAGACATACATTTGTTTATGTGCTACAATACAGCAGTATTTTGTTCAGCAATGACTTCATTTCAGCATTTGCATAAAAAAGTTGCTTAAAGTCAAATTTTAAGGACAGTTAATCCATCTCCAGAATTACATAT